ACTCTGGTTCTAATGACCAAAGTTGGTTTTTCGAAAACCAACGCCTTTTCACTCCTTTTCCGATGTTTCCGGTAAAAACTTCGGTGGCGACTCCAGATGAACCCTTCCAAAATTAGCTCTTGGGTTAGCCCGGTTATCGGACAACCCAAGAGCGTCTTTTCGAAAACCTCGCCTCTAGGTTCAGCCCGGTTATCGGACATCCTAAAGGCGTTGTAACCACACCAATAAAAACGTGAAAGTTGGAAAGTCGGAACCATCGTGTCACTCTGACTGCCTCGTTTTGATGGCGGCGACAATTAGGGTCATCGAATTGATCTTACTGACATCCCTACAGACCTAGGATATGATAGAAATGAGGCACTAACTATGATGGTTAGATCAAAACTACAAGTGCAGACTTGTAAGAATGTCGATAGTTTGACCGTAGAGGACAGACTTTTACATTATGTGTTTGTTCATATTCTTAGTCATGGAGAAGATAATTATGTTCAAGTCTTACATGATGATATATTTATGATATGGTACATAAAGAATCACATTCTGATTAATTGGCCTTATTATATCATCAGACATATGAAGAAATGTAAGACTAATTGTATGTCTCTACCTTATGGTTTTTTAATCACTCATATTCTACTGCATTGTGGCTTGAACTTGACTTTATAGTCAAGTCACTCCCTCGAATGGACAAATAGATTTAAGGAGAGATATTTGAAAAAATTGAATGTTATAAATGATGATGGGCATGGTAACATGGTAAGGGCCACCATGTCCAACAACCTAACCTTGAGCAAGATCACCCCTCTAGTGAGGATGAAGATGTGCGGGTTGAACAAGAACAAGTGCAAGCACCCGATCAAAGAGAACAAGTATAATTTTCCCAACAAGCTAATACCATAAACTTAATATGGGGAGATATTCAAGATATGCAAAGACATATGAGTATACTTGAAATTAATATTGAGAATAATTATCAGAGTCTTCAAAGAGAGATTTATTATGTGCACCACAGAATTTATTAGGTTGAAAATGTAATTGATCATATTCATGAGTCTTGAGTAAATATCTCGTTCATGTTATTTTTGATATATTTCTATTTGTCTTTTTATTTAAGTTTCTTTTGGATAACCGTACTTTTTTTTGTTCTATTTTGGATGACTGTAATTTATTTTCTTTTGGTTTTTATTTTGAATGACTATAATGATTATTTGGATAATTGTATTTTTTTATAACTGTAATTTTATTAATTATCAATGTATTTTTTCATTCAAATTTAACATAGAATGACTTTAAATTTTTTTGAATGACTATATATTTTATATACACGTTTTATTTTATTTTATTTTAAATTTAAATATTATATTTTATGTGAAATCAAATTTTTATAATTTTAATAAAAATTATAAATTATCATTAACATAATAAATCAATATATTTTAAATATTTTTACAAATATTACATATTATTTTTATATTTGATATATAGTATAATTTTAATATATATCACAATTTTATGTGTAATATAAATTAATTAATTTAAATTAAATTATATCATAATTCTAATTTATATTTATTTTATTTCATATTAATACATAGATATTTTAATTATTATATTTTTTAAATTATTATTATTATTATAATTTTTTTAATTATATGAAAATTATCTTTTCACTTAATTTTTTATGTATTTATTTTGTAGTGTAGTTTGTCTCAACCAAGTGGCGGATCTTGACCATTGATCTTGGGGAGTCAAATAATATATTATTAATAAATAATAAATAAATATAAAAGGAAGAAAGAATATGAAATATTGAAAAGATAAAATTGTAGATATATACTTAAATATATTAAATGATCATTAAGTTTGAGGGAAACAAAATCATAAATTATATGAGAATTACAAAACTGAGGAGGGGCTGGGAGGATAAAATTGTAAATATACAAGTAAATATATTAAATACTCATTATGTTTGGGGGGTCAAAATCATAAATTACATAGAAAATACAAAACTTTGAGGGTCATCTCCCAATAAGATCCGCCGCTAGTTTCAACCCAAACAAGCCTGCTTAAAAAGGCATGGGGTTATTTCAATATGCTAGGAAGTGGGTCCAAAGATGAAGGGAAGGTATAACTCAATTTTCATTGGGTCCCCAAATGCAGTTTGTTTTCTCTTCAGTCTTATAATGTACAGCCATTGTCGGGGAGGAATTGTGGTACGGTCCATCATTGACATCACTCATTACTTCTTCCTTGTTACATAAGCCACATATCACTCCTTCTCCAGGTTAGTGGTTTTCTTTGTCATTGTTTACAATGATAGAATATTGAACTGGTTGATCATGGAATTTTTTTTTTCTCTTCTGTTTTTAGAGCATCACAAACACTAGAAGAAGAAAAATATTGAAAAGGTGATTATATCAATAAAAGACAAAAATTCTCTTACTTTTATACATAATTTACGAAAAATACTTTTGTCATTTTTATGCATACTTAACTTACATTTTTTTATTATTATTATTATTAAAATGGTGTATAAAATATTGAAGGATGAAAAAAGTGGCACCATCTACTTGAAATGTAAAAAGCTAGACAAATGAAAGCAATTAAGTAATAATAAAAAGATTAAGTCTTATTACTATACATATGGAAAGATCTCAATAGTTACAACTCAAATGAAGATAAAGAAATTGAAGAAGTCAAAAATTGTCTAATGATTGACACAAATGAAGAACTATATGAGTTATAATTAATCATTGAACCTAAGTTTAAAAAAAAAACGAATTGAATTACTCTAACTTAGACTATAAGGAAGAAATTTCATATGATATTCTTCTGAAAAACACATCGAGCTCTCTTTTTGAATGTTTAAAAGTTTAAAGCAAAATTATTTAAAAAAAAAAATTGGGTTCCAATGACATACTTAAAAAAGTGAATATGAATCTTATATATGAGACTGAAGTTCTTATATTTTAAAACCAATATTAGCAAATAAAATACTTTTAAAGTTCCCCAACTTAAGAAGAAGTAACCACTAATTTTCATTACGTCATCAACCAGTTTTATCAACTCATATACTTGTTGTATGTGAAGATCTAATCTTTCTAATTCTATCATTATTTAGCAAGTGTTTCATACATGACATAGATATTTAAATATAAATAAAATTATAAATGAAACTTAAATTAAAGATAGTAGTCAATTTATTATAAATAGTAAACTTTTTATTATAGTAAATTAAAGACAATAAACTTTTAAAATTTCGAACTCATTAAAAAAAAACTTGAATCATATATATATATATATATATATATATATATATATATATATATATATATATATATATATATATATATATATACAAATATGAATTCTGAAAAGGAAGTTCAAATTAGGATTAGTTGAGATTATGATGGTCTTAAATTCAATTTGATAAAACATAAAAATATCTAAAATTTGATACTCAAGAATTATAATTTAAATAAAATTTAAATTGGAAATATTTTCAAGTAATAATGGTATTTGAAAGGAATAGAACAATTACAAATAAAACTTCTTAAGTACTTTTGGTAATTTAATTTTAAATATATATGAAATTTTGATATATTTAAGTACTTTTAAGCTGATTAAGTTTGTCTTTTTTTTTTTAAAATGGCTCATCTATGAATTTTTTTCTACTTAAAATCCTCAATTTCTTACTTTTTCCTAATTTTTTTACAAATAAATCTTCTTTCACTTAAAACACATGAAACAAAACATAAATTTTACTCTATATAAATTAAATTAAATATAATTTTTCATCTGACAAATCCTTTATATTTTATTAATTTTTCACTAAATTTAAGATTTCTAAACTTTAGATGTACTTTAAATTTTAAATTTATGGAAATCCTAAAAATAAGATAGAAAATGAGAATTTAATATTTTAAATAGACAAAATTAGCAAAGGGACCAAATATACTTGATAGTATATTAATAAAAATAAATACATTTAATTAATTCAATAAAAAAATAGAAATGAAAGTTGTATATAATTCAAACTTCAAAAAGAAAAATTGAAAAATCTATGGTAAAAAATTAAAAAAGTCATATGATTTGGTATAAAAAATTGCACCCATTTTTGTTTGAAAAGTCAGATTCAAATTAATAATAGTCAAGTTAAAACTAGTCAAGTTAAACATTGGTAGTGTAACGTCCAACTAATTGTAAATAATTGCCGCGAACTTCTTAGAATGTCACTTATCCCACAATTTTTTCAAGTAAAATATGTTTAATTATGAAGTTTTTATGTAATAGGTCATCAAAAAATAAATGTATTTTGTTAGTATAAATAGTATCAATTAATTCTCTTAAGCTATCATTTAATTGTATAGTCTGATATCTATACAATTTCTGGATCTCTATACTTCGAGTGTGTTTCAATTCATCCATATGACTCTTCTACTAGAAGTCTGCAAGAGTCGTTCTTTGTCCGTGTCTCACTGCACCGCCTATTTCTCCCCACCCTCGTCGGCGTTCGATGTCACATGTAGGCCTCAAATCAATCTTTATTATTATTATTATTATTATTATTATTATTATTATTATTATTATTATTATTATTATTATTATATATATATATATATATATATATATCTAATTTATTTACTTTTCATATATGTTTCTTAAAATTTTGGTCTACAAGACTTTTGGTCTTTTCAGAAAACGATTCTAACTTGTGCAATAAACAACTCGTATTAAATGTACATGTTTAGATAATTTTTTCATAAATAATTATATAAAAAAAATATTTTTTTAGTTTTTCTCTATGAAATGTTAATTTAACCATAGCTAGAAGTTACACAGGTCAAGCAGCATATACTCTTGACATGAGAGACCTATTTTCACCCTTATTTCTAACAGAATATATATATATATATATATATATATATATATATATATATATGCAACTTCGGCTTTTGAAAGGACAATTCCAAGTATTTGGAGAACTCACTCCATCTCAAATGGACTATGAACCTCCATTTTTAGAGATCTACAAGCACCTTCTACAAAACTCGCATGGTGTTGGTGTTAATGACATAAGAAACGACAAAACCGAGTGCTGTGAGCTTCCTCTGATTGATCTAAGCCGGTTAAGCCTCGACCACGTTGAGAGGGAGGAGTGCATGGAAGAAATCAGAGGTGGTGCCAGAACTTGGGGTTTTTTCCAGGTTGTGAATCATGGGGTTTCGCAGGAGCTGCTTCAGAATCTGCGGCATGAGCAAATGGAAGTGTTCCGCAACCCCTTTTCAACAAAATCCGGAGAAAATTTCTTGAACTTACCCGCCAGAAGTTATAGGTGGGGCAACCGATCTGCCAGAGACTTGAGCCAAATTTCATGGTCAGAAGCCTTCCACATGTTTCTTCCAGATATAGCTAGGATAGAGGACCAGCACCAAAGTCTCAGGTATATATACATAGACACTGCATTGTTATGACTGTGATCTATTCTCCTCCAATTCTGTGTGGAAAAGCAAGCGCATATTATTTTTAGGGTCACATTATTGCTGTAAACTCGCAAAGTAGAGATATTTGGTTTAAAGTTTTGACATCATTCTCTCTTCTGTTATTTTACCTAAGAGAAAATTAATGACAAGGAATAAATTTAGTCAACTAGACTTTGGAATACAACATGTTAGGGTTATTAAAAAAAATTGTGACTCAAATATCAGTAAATATATGTGATGTTTTGAGTCTGAAAGACACGATCTGTTAAACTATTTACAATCTCTAAAAAACTTGAAAGGCGTGGATACTTATTGCGGTTGACCTATTTGACTAGATAATCTACCTTTTTTCTAATATCTTTACAACATGCACTATGTAAACAATAAATCATTGTACAATTATGTATAAATATTGTAAAGTTACTATTGCATGTACTTAAGGCAACAATTGAGGTGACCAAATGTTTCTCCATGTATTTTGTACGTCTTCTTTTTTATGATCTGCACCTTGAGTTTATTTTGGTGTGGTGAGTTATTTTACAATCTTTGAAGACTATTGAAGACTATTTTACTCTCCATAATGTATAGTTTTTCTAACCAATTTTGATGTTAAATATAGATCAAGTATTGAAGCTTTTGCATCTGCAGTTGCCCCACTGGCAGAAAGCTTAGTGCAAATTCTAGCTCAGAAACTGAACATCAAAATCAGCTATTTCCAAGAGAATTGTTCAGCAAACACTAGCTTTCTTCGGCTGAACAGATATCCACGATGTCCATTCCATTCAAGGGTGTTTGGCCTCTTACCTCACACTGACTCCAGTTTCCTCACTGTAGTGAACCAGGACCAGATTGGGGGGTTGCAATTGATGAAAGATGGAAAGTGGGTTAGTGTCAAACCTAACCCCCAAGCTCTTGTTGTTAATATTGGTGATTTATTCCAGGTAATGATCTCGCCATTCTTACTTTATTCTTATACAATAACAGCTTATGTTTTTGCTTCAGATAGCTTGTGGGAGAGAGTCTTGACTTCACAAATCTTGAGAGAGACCACATGACTTTTAAATGTGATGAAGAATTAATTTCATAATCAACTTAAATGACTCAAACTTATAAAAATATCGAAATCAAAAACCCTAATTACTTAAAAAAGTATTTTCAAAAGGGCTATTATTTTCCAAGGCAATATAATAATAATTCGAAAAATATTCCTCATTTTACTTTTCTTATATCACCTTTCACATAAATTTTCAGTTTAAGCGATAGTTCAGAGTTGAATTTAGGTCCAGAACACTATTAGGGAATCTAACTATATGAAGGATATTTTTTTGGTAGAGTACATATGAAGGATTGGACGAATTTAGGAACTGATAAAACGATTTAATAATTATCGCTGTGCATCGTAAAGAATCATCATAGAATAGGTATTTGTTTTCATATAGCGTACTGGATCAGCCACCTAATTAATATATAAAGAGTGAAAGAGAAGGACAAATGAAGCTTTTCCAGTAGGGAAATGAAAAAAAAAAAAAAATCAAATATATATATATATATATATATATATATATATATATGTTTAAATGAGATTACTTTTATAGTTTTAGTTAATATTTATAACGGATGTATTTTAGTATATTGATGAGTTCTACATTGATAAGGGTATTTTATATATTTTTTTTTTTCTTAATCAATTGAAATATCATTTAAAATAAAATCATAATATATTAGAGTTTTAAATTTGTAGATAATAATTTAATACGTAGAGATTATTTATAAGCAAGAAAACATGTGGAAGGGAAAGAATAAACGAAAATCATTAATGACCTCCCAACCCAAGGATTGCATTAGGTAAAAATGTGGATGTGATTATATACTCTCAGCCATTTCAACTTTGAAAGGAAAGAATCTATCTTTTAAGATAACTCATGTCTGTGGGTCCTGCAACATAGAGAGTGATGAAATAAGTTGTAGTAAGCATACAACTTTCCTTAATAATTTCAAACACTTACTAACCATATAAGCTAGTGAATGATAAACTAATGAAAATGATATGTGCAGGCAGTGAGCAATGGCATGTACAGAAGTGCAAAACACCGGGTGGTGGGAGCTGAGAAGGTGGAGAGATTCTCAGTGGCATATTTCTATAACCCTAGGAAAGATGCAGTGATAGAGAGCCACATGATGCCAGCAGTGTACAGAAGGTTTACTTTTGGAGAGTACAGAGAGCAGATAGAGAAAGATGTTAAGGAAACAGGTGATAAAGTGGGGCTCCCTAGGTTTCTCTTGAAGAGACATGGCCACAATGACACCCCAAGAAATAAATTTTATCACCAGAAGTAATAATTCAACTCTCCCATGACATGACTCAATCTGATCATGCATTTCCTCATCAGGACCACATACCACCCCCCACAAACATCTCATCTCCCAATCATATTTCGACAAAACTTCCTCCTTCTCCACGTTCAATCATGCCATTTCTCAACTTATAATTCTATGCCTTTCCCTCCGACTTTCATCTTCATCATTCATCACTACTGCTGCTAATATCATTGGGAGATGTGTGTGTGTGTGTGTGTGTGTGTGTGTGTGTGTGTGTGTGTGTGTGTGTGTGTGTGTGTGTGTGTGTGTGTGTGAGAGAGAGAGAGAGAGAGAGAGAGAGAGAAGAGAAAGAAAAGATAAAAGGTTTAAATATATTTCAAAAATATGTGAAGGTTTTTAGTTTGTTTTTATATAAAATATGTTGTTTAGGTTTAATCTTTGTATAAAAAAAGTTGATTTAAGGATTAAGGTTATATATATTTTTTAAAATTTTTTAAAAATTATAAAAATGTTATATAGGAGTGTCTTGAAATGTTATTTGATAAACAAAATAAAAATATATCTATTCTGTTATACAAAATGTGAAATTAAACTTTAAGTATTGGGATGATGAGAAATATATTAATGAAAAAATTAAATTATAAATATTTCTATTAATGAAAAAGGTATTTAAAATTTATATACACTCTCCTCCCTTGACCCACTGAGACGCATTTTAAGAACAAAATCATGACGGACGAGAACTCCAAAACAAACATGACACCGAGACATATTTATTCCTTAAACATAACATAGCAATGCGGGACTTCATGTCCATTATGTCAATTCTCATGTTTGAGGTATTGTCTACTTTAAAACTCTCATATGTCACGATTTTGTCCTTAAAAAGCACATCAGTGGGTTAAGGGAGGAGGGTATATATAAACCACCATTGGTCTCGACTTCTAAGCGATGTGAGACTTCATGAGCGTACCAGAACATAAGTCTCCCAGTCGATGACTAAGGGATATGTATGAGTGGAGCGAAACTATACTCTCATTTATGATGTGCGTGGTGCGTGAAGGGGGTACCTATAAATACTCCAACGATATGACATGTTAACAGGGTTTTTATTAATCAAACATCTTACCTTTCTTATAATTACTACAAAATATATTTATATCGTCATGAGAGGACGACATCATCTGGGTCCTCTTGATGTGGGACTTTAATGAGCCCCTAGTGCACTTACCGTACAATGAGTAAATTAAAAAAAAATTCCTCATTTTCAAGTTATACCAAAATAATTGTTAATGTGAATGTTTTACTCTCTAATTTATGTAATTAAACTCATTCGGATCTCTAATTGAAAGTATGCGAATGAATTTGTACATTATTACAAATTTTCATACTTTATAGGAATATATTTTATAATTTTTTTATGAAAATTTAAATATATTTTCTATAAATTAATCTAAACTATAAGAAATTTTACATAAAATAACTAATTTTTCGGTGTTATGAATTGCATAAAAATTATAAAGGGAAAAGAAAGTAAGAAAAAAGAAAGTATCACGACAATACAAAGAGTAATTAACTTTAAGATATTGAAAGAATTAAATGAAAATTTAATAGAATATCAAAACAAATATGAAAGAAATGGATAAAGTTATTCTCAGTTAACCATTTCATGTAAATTAATAAAAATAATATAAACCAAAACATGAAAATATTTCTATAGTCAAAATATTATAACAAAAATAATATATAAGCTTACTATTAAGAAAGAAATAAAAAATAAAGAACCTAATTAAAACAAGATAACAAAATCTTGTTAAAAGATGAAATCTAAAATAAAAAGAAGTGAAGTATGAAAAGGAAAAACATGGACCAAAACTTAATCTAGTATGAAATTTTGAAAAATGTAAGAAAAACATATATAATGTAAATTATTTTTTCTTGTAATTAATATTTTTTTATTTGAAATGTTGAAGATGAAATCTTGAAGGTGGTGAAGGGAGTTTGGTGGTCATAAAGGCAAAGAAGATCATGACAAATTTGTATATGCGGTTTGGAGATACGTTGCAAGAAGCGGATGCATCGGTTGTAGCAACAAATCGGGAAGAGGCAGTGATCATAAGGCATCATAGACTTCGTCATATGTTAGAAAGTGGTATGAAAATCCTTGTAGAACGTAATCTTTTACCCAATTTTAAAGATGTTAGTTTACCTTTCTGCGAGCACTGTGTGATAAGCAAGCAACATAGATTGAAGTTTGTTAGAGTGACTATTAAAAGTAAACACTTGGACTTGATTCATTTTGATGTATGGGAAGTTTGTTAGAGTGACTGTTAAAAGTAAACACCTATTGGACTTGATTCATTCTGATGTATGGGAATGACTGGTACTATCCCTCGGAGGAGAAAAATATTTTGTATCGTTCATCAATGATTATTCCAGAAGATCATGGGTGTACTCTATCAAGAAGAAGTCATGTGTTTTCAGAGTTCAAGGAATTCAAAGCACAAGTAGAACTTGAAATTGGAAAATCCTGGTGGAGAGCATTAGAGTGCTATAAAGAGGATTCTTATATACATCAAAGGAACCTCAGGTGTTGCATTATGTTATGGAAGATCAGAACAAGTTGTCAGAGGTTATGTTGATTCTAATTTTGCAGGTGATCTGGATAAAAGGAGATCTACTACTGGTTGCAGGAGGGGCAATAAGTTTGTTATCCAAGTTACATGATGTTGTAGCTCTGTCTACCACAGAAGTTGAGTACATGGCAGTCACCCAGGCATGTAAGGAAGTTATTTGGATTCGGAAGATAATGGAGGAACTCAGGCACAAGTAACAATAAATTATTGTGTATTGTGACAGTCAGAGTGTCTTGCACATTGCAAGGAATCTAACCTTTCATTCCAGGACAAAGCACATAAGAATAATATATCATTTTGTTCGGGAAGTAGTGGAAGAAGGAAGTGTGAATATGCAAAAGATTCACACGGATGAGAAACCTAGCAGATATTATGACAAAGCCGGTTAGTGTTGACAAGTTTGTATGAAGTCGATCCTAATATGGCCTAGCGAAAAAATAAGCAACATGGATAGCAAAAATAAAACAAGCATGGTGTGAAGATTTGATTAATTTAATCAAAATATTCAAGTGGAAGATTGTGAGAAGAAAAGTCTCATATCAGGCAAATTTACTTTGGTGCTTATTTTTCTTACTATAAAAGGAGTACAATGTTTACATTGTAAAACACACCAAAATCACTTCATTTTTTTTCTCTTATGCTTTAATACTTAAGAGATAAATTAAGAGAGAAAAATAGTTTCTCTTTTTAAATTCTCTTAGAGTTGTTCTTTCTTTATTTTCAAGAGAGGGTATTATTGTTTTTTCCTTATAGGTAGAGAGAGAATGGTTGTAATTTTTTTCATTAGTGAAATTACCTTTTTGTCTATTGTCAGTATTTTTCTCATTTTTTTATTTTAGTTGTGTGTACTTATGTTTTTGTCTGAAATATCTAACAATGGTATTAGAGTCGATGGTTTATCCGGTGACCGACTCAATTGAATGAGTAGGTGATAAGTCTTTGTATCGAAAGTCTTCCTGACAAGGTTTTCAGTTAAGCGAGTCTCGTTGAGTTGAACAGCGGTACAAGTAAGGTCACTAAATGCTTCCACTCAAGGGGAGGTGTACCAATGTGAAAAAGAATCACACTTGAGAGGGAGATTATTGAGAATTCAAGTATGAGTTAAAGTCTCACATTGGATAGAAATGAGAAAGTTGAGTAACTTATAAGTAAGAAAGACTCATAACCTAATGCCTTCATGTTTTGGGTTAAAGGTGATGTCATATTCTCTTATATGGTTGGTTCATGACTCATTTGTAAGAATACTCCATTGTTAGTTCTCTTAGAAATACCTAACATTTATATCCTCAATCTTTGCACCTCAAATAAACTGTTGCTAAATTGAATCAACATGAAGGAATTAAAACTAAAACTAGTAGTTTTGATTTCAAGAATTTGAATATTTTGTAGAGGTGAAATGAAAGGCTAATTTTTTTAATACTAGAGTAATTTGTGTTGGGTATTTGCAAAAAGTTAATATTAAGATAATTTTTTTACTTGAATATGATTAGAGTAAGCGATAAATCGTAAATTATAAGTTATGTTGAAAGTTTTTTTAATAAGGATTTCAAGTAAACAATTCTTATAGTGTGAACGATAGTATAAATAAAGTCATTACTAATTATTCATAATTAAAAAATATTTCTACTTAAAAAAGGAGTATATCAATGTGGAAGAAAATCAAATTTAAGGGAGAAATTATTGAGAATCCATGTGAAATCTTGTACCGAGTAAAGTGAGAATAAGTAAAAAAGATTCACAAATTCAATTAATACCTTAAGATTTTCAATTGAAAATAAAATCGTATTCTCTTGTATGATTGACTCATATTATATTCATAAAATTCTATTAATATTTATGAAATTTCATTTTTTTTATTTATCTTAACTTAAACTACTTCGGATTACAAAAATTATAATATATAAACTCTAAACCGTAAAAATAATTATAGATAATATTTAAAATTTCTACTTATAACATAAGATCTAAATTAAATAAATAATTAAGATGTGTGTTTAAACTAATCTTAATAGTACACTGTTATGTGTTCTATAATAGAAGAAGATGAACAAGGCGTTTTGTCAAGCACACTAAGCTTGAGCGAGAAAATTCTATTTCTTCCTACTTTGATTTATGTGAGTTAAACATTTAAAAAACAAAAGCAAACTGACTAATTTTCTTTACATACTACTCAAGCATTTTTAGGTTCGAGTTTGAATATTATTATGATTATTAGTTGACATTTGTTAATAGGTTTTCTTTTTGCGAAGAAATTTTATGAGGTGAAAATATTTTATGATTGATAAAAGCTTTAATTTTACTTGACTTGTATATTAAAATAATAGACTGTGTTTTTTTTATAAAAAAAAAAATCATGTTTCAACTATAAAAATGTGTATTAAT